AAAGTGCTGGGATTACAGGCTTGAGCCACCGCGCCCGGCCGAAAAGTTTATTTTTAGTGAAAGTAAGAATTGATTTTAATTATTTGGTGGTAGTAACCCTTACTAGAAGAATACGAGCTGTAGTACCTATGTTAGTGATTCTCACAGTTCCAAATTGCATGGTGATTTTTAGGACAACTTCAAAGAGTTTTAATTTTTATGTTTTGGGAAATAGCTTGTGAGGTAGGCAGGATTGCAAAGTTTTTCCAAAATATTTTCTGAAGTTAGTGAAGCCAGTTGAAATCTACTTAAACATTTGAAGTGATACAGTTAACATTTTTTTAAATGAAGGTAAACCACTGTCTGTAGTTGAGAAATAAGATGGAGTGTTTTACTTATTTAAGGCGTTATTTAAAAAGTAAACAAAAGCATTGGCCTACAAGAGAATGGTGGTGTTGGATTATAAGTGCCTATTCCTATCTTTAGTATTCAACAACAGGTGAGTATATTTTCAGTTTCCAAGCAGTTATTAATTTACATTTTCTGAAATTATGGCTAGTTTCCTACTTCCCCAAAAGTGAGGCTTAAAAGGATGGCTATTTCATCCTAATTTAGAAAAAGATGACAAATATGAAGTGCTTAATTTTTTTTTGGTACTAAGATAATGAAACCATCCAGAATTTTATGATCAAAACACGGCATTTGCCCAGGGAGTATCTGTAGTTGAGCCACTGGCTCTATAACATTGTTTGTATTTTCCCCCAGTGGAGGTTTTTATCTCATGGCCATAAAAATAAAAGAGGGTTAAATGTGAAAATAATAACTGCATTTTGAACATCTCAGTCCCTCCACTCAATAATTATTTAACGTTGTTCTTCCTTGAATTACATATTTTCTATTGTAATAAGTTCCTATTTTGAAAACCAAGGAAGTGAACATTTTTTGAAGAAGGCAGTTCAATGGCCTCTTTAGCAGGTGTTTTATCTAGAGGTTGATACATACGGATTGGTTGTGGGGAGGAGAGGGTGTTACGAAATGTAAAATTAAGGCTGTGAAAATAACATTAGGGTTGCCACAAAAGGTGAAATAAACCTTGATCAAGGGAAAAACAGCTTTGAAAATGCATCATGTGACAGGAGGCATCTGTGAGGGAGGGAATGAAATGGCTCCCAGGGGTAGTATATCCATCCTCTTCCTGATATACTTGTGCCATAGAAATAATGACCCTCAACATGTTAAAATGTGGTTTACAAAGCGGGTGGATCACGAGGTCAAGAGATCGAGACCATCTTGGTCAACAAGGTGAAACTCCTTCTCTACTAAAAATACAAAAATTAGCCGGGCGTGGTGGTGCATGCCTGTAGTCCCAGCTACTTGGGAGGCTGAGGCAGGAGAATTGCTTGAACCCAGGAGGTGGAGGTTGCGGTGAGCCGAGATCGCGCCATTGCACTCCAGCCTGGGTAACAAGAGTGAAACACTGTCTCAAAAAAAAAAAAAAAAAAAATGTGGTTTACATTCAGGGTCATCAGAGTTTAGGCCTAATTTCTGCAATTCAGGTATTCAGCATTACTTTGCAAAATTCTTGTATGAACATAAAAAACATTTTGCTAGTGTGGTTGGGAGAATCAGGTTAAATTTAGTGGAAGCATTTTGGATACTTTGCCTAGTATTGCATGATTTCTGAAAATTAGAAGTGAAAGTACAGATAAGTCCTATTCTTTGCTCACATTATTTCACACTGGCCTTTCCAGATGCTCATAGTTAAAAATTTCCCTGTCATTAAAAACAAAAACGATTACAGCCTTTATGTATAAATCTGCTGCCCTTTATAACATTTTATGTGACTTGTTTGTTTCACTAGATTGTAAGCCTTTGGAGGTCAGAAAAAAAAATGCATCTAAATTAATTGTATCTGCCACCACATCTAGGACAGTGCCTTACACTTACTTGCTATTCAATAAATATATTCATTAAAATAATGGACATACTACTGGATTGCAATTTAATGTCTGAGCCCTTTAAATGAATGCATCATCAAACTTTAAACTTTCTACACTTTGTCCATGTACACGTAGCACATGTGTGACACTTGTAGCATTTATTAAAAATTTACACATTTCATTGTACTGAATCTCCAAGGCTAGCAGTCTATAACAGCACTGACTAGCAGAAATACAATGCATACTACATATGTAATTTCAAGTTTTCTGGCTACATTAAATACTTGTAGGCAACTATTTCCAAAACAAGGTGTAATCGCTTTAAAACTAATTTTAATTTACATTTAATACTGTTTTCATGCTAAGTCTTTGAAATAACGAGCCACATTTCAAGTGCTCAGTGAGCTCAACTGAGCTACTGACTTGTACTGGACATTGCTGATGCAGAACTGTAGGGTAGGTAGTTTCCATAGATCTCAACATTTCTGGATCTCAGTTTTCCTAGAAATCAGGTATCTTAATATGTCATTTTCATTTTCGGTTGTGTATCTAAATAAAAGCTAATTGGTTTAGCTCATTATTGTCATGTTCATAAAGCTGTAAAATTTGAAAAAACAATTTTGTATTAAGCATTATACAAAGATATTTAACAGGCACTTTCCAAATTTCCACCCATTTTAATTGTCCCAGGCCCTCAATTTTATAAGATAGCTCTGTTTTAGAGTTGAGGTAGGAGTTAGATAAATCAAGTTAATCTTGCTAACATGTTGCTAGTAGGAGATAAAGCTAGTTTCAGAACCAGGATTGACTGTGGATATTCCATATAACCCCTTGAAAGTTCAAAACTTAATAAGCTTGGGGAAAAAATTTCTAGCTCTGTGGATGTAAAGGTGGATTCTAGACCACAGGCTAAAGAGAGAACATTTAAGAAATAAGTTATTTTATTTCCTCAGATGGGGTCTGTAGCAACAGAAATTTAATTACATTTCTTGCTTTAGGTGTGGAAATTCTCTGCCATAAATAATTTCCTTATGGAAGAAGTACTACATTTTATTTTCCTTTTCTAATCATGAAGAGCAATTAGGAAATTTAAGTTGTCTATTGTCTAGTTAACTTATTCTAGTTGCCTCTAAGAAATCAGATAGGAAAGAAGTCTTTTAATTGGATTTTGTAATGATGTCTGATTTGAACAGAATTCAAGACATTTTGTCTAAAATATACTGGCTCTTGGTGAAGAGAGTAATTTCAAAATAAGTCTTTAAGGAAGCAAAAGTTTTAAACAGAATAAAAGGTAATATAATTTATCAGACAAGTTAATAGGGTAATTTACATTATTTGTCATGAAATTAGAGTATTTAAAAAAGTAATTTACAAAACCATAAACCACTAAAGTCCATAGGCACTTGATACATGTAGATCCACTCAACATACATCTCGAATATTTTAGAATAAACAGATTCTACTAAAGTAGGTATTCTACTAAATTAGTATTAGGTACCAAAATCTGTTTTAGTTACCTAATATGTATCTAAAAACAGTTTTTAAAAGTGGTAAGCTTTCCAGTAATGTTACACTGTGGTCTTTGAAATGGTTTAGTCACAAATGGAAAAGTTTATTTGTGGTATTAAGACAATACTGTCTAATCGTGAGGAGCAGTGAAATTGTTTACTTTTATACACCACTGTGGAATTGGTGCCACCATTCTACAGAGCAGTTTGACTATATCAAGAATGTTTATGTTCTTACTCTTTGACCCAGTAATTGTATTAAAGTTCATCCTAAAAATATAGAAATGTGCATAGATTTATGATCAAGGATGGTCATAATATCAATGAACTTTAGTGATTAGCAATAATGGAACAAAGGGTGGTACATTCTGAGAAAGGAAGATAATGCATAATTAAAGATACATATTTTTATAATATGGGAAAATATTCATGAAACCACATACAACATTAAAAAACATTTCTGACTGTTTCCCTACTTTGAAGGGTAAGATCCTAGGAAAGAAAGACGACAGGGGCAGTCTCTGGCCTTAGAACCTATTCATATCCCGGCTTTGTGAGTTGTATGATCCTAAGTTCCCCTGTCTCTTTTTTTTTTTTTTTTTTTTGAGACGGAGTTTCGCTCTCGTTACCCAGGCTGGAGTGCAATGGCGCGATCTCGGCTCACCGCAACCTCCGCCTCCTGGGTTCAGGCAATTCTCCTGCCTCAGCCTCCTCAGTAGCTGGAATTACAGGCACGCGCCACCACGCCCAGCTAGTTTTTTGTATTTTTAGTAGAGACGGGGTTTCACCATGTTCACCAGGATGGTCTCGATCTCTCGACCTCGTGATCCACCCGCCTCGGCCTGCCAAAGTGCTGGGATTACAGGCTGAGCCACCGCGCCCGGCCTCCCCTGTCTCAATACCTGTATAATGGTTGAAACTATAGTACTGTACCTACACCATGGAGTAAATACATGGAGGTTAAATGAACGTGCTTACAGCAGCACCGGAGTAAATTTTAGCGGTAATAGTCTTTCTGCATCTTTCATTGTAGCGGACAATACAGAAATAAAAATTTAGAAATGCGATGAATTAGCAAACGGAAAACCCCGTGAGACTCTCTGTAAGAGAGATTTCACCTGATCTGCCAACCTGCCTCTTCCAAGCACTTGGATTTTGATTGGGCTCCCGAAACCGGCGTGAACTGAGCTTTACCTTGCCTGTGAGCACGCAAAAGATTATGTTGGTGGGGTGGCGGCCTGGTGGGTTGTATTTATTCCAGGGCTGTTTTACTCGCCACACTCGCAATCCACAATACGCCCCTTTTAAAATATGGACTCAAAGGCGTCCTCCCATCCACCTTTCCCTTAGGCGTCACGCAAAGCTCGCACCTGCCCCTACCCGGAGCCGAAAGTAAGGTGAGGCGCGGAGGGTTGTGGCGTCGGGGGAAAGCGACCACTCGCTCCGTCCCTAAGCGAGTTCGTGTCGCGAATACTACAGTTCCCAGCAGGCTCCACGAGCTCCGGGTGCCCCTCAGACGGCGCCCGGCTGCTACGGCGGGGGGGGGGGGGGTGGGGGCTGTAGTTTCTTCCGGTCTCGCCACAACCTTCTTCCCTCACCTCCGCAAAACAGGCAGTTACCGGGTGCTGGAGCTTTCCCTCGATTTCCGGAATAGGCCGGTCGCCTGTGGAGTCAGTTTCCGCGCAAGACTGCTAGCTACTCCGGCCTGGAGGGCGGAGCGGCGGGACGCTAAGGAGCCTTGCGCTGGGTGACGACCTCGGTCACGTTTTACGGCCGTTCCTCTCGTCGGCGGGGTACAGCGGCCGCGCACGCGCGGCAGGGGGCGTGGGACTGGGCCCTGCTTGACGCGATCGCAGCCTGCGGCGGCGAACTGCGGGTAGGCGGCTGTGTGTGTTCGCCGCCGAGCTGACGGGGCTGGGACGCGGGGTGTGGATGGGGGATCGCCTTGACCTCGGCCTCAGCCAGTAGGACAGCCTCGGCCTCGCGGACGGAAATGGTGCCCTCGGTGCGGACGATGGGAGAGAAACTGAAGCGGCGGCTGCGGCTGGACGTGGGGCGCGAGATCTGCCGCCAGTACCCGCTGTTCTGCTTCCTGCTGCTCTGCCTCAGCGCCGCCTCCCTGCTGCTTAACAGGTAACGCCCCAGCGCGGAGCCTGGGCTGCGGCTTTGTGGACGCCCGGCCCGTGCTGCTTCACCGTGTGGAGGCCGCGTAGCTGCGGGACTGGGGGCCGCTGAGGAGAGCGAGCTTTGCAGAGGAGCGGCCTCGGGGAGCTCGGCTGGGCATCGGGCCCAGAAGCACAGGCGGGTGGGGTGGGGTTGATTGCCTCCTTTCCCGAGGCTTCATCTGAGCTAGCTTCTTATGCATTTCTGAAAACGAGTCCTTCATCTTAAGGGCTTTTCAGAAGTGAAATAAATCTGTGTGTCGTCTCCAATTGAGACCGTACGGAGGCAGTCGAGTCTGCTGACGGAGGAGGGTTCAAAGTCCAGTCCGCAAGCGCAATTTTAGGGGGAATCCGCACACCACCTGCGCGTTCCTTCATTCCCCTCCCCGCCTTCCGCTTGCAGCTGAAGCTTTTCCCTCAGTATTGTTGAATAAAATAGTCATAAAGATTTGTTGGATAGAAATCAGAAAGCAAAGTGGCACCCGTCTTAACATCCCTAGAATATTCTTAAGGGGACTTGATGACAAAAAAAGGAAAAGAAAAAAAAAAACAAAAAACCACAAACTCTGAAATATTCCGAAAGGTTAAAGTTGGTAAATTCAATTGACATTTTAAAATCAGAAGATTCTGCCCACAAAAGAAACTTGTTACCCTTCATTTTGGCAATTGTTGCGATGCAATAGGTAGCAAAGGATACTTATCCATTAAAATTAATACCAGATTTGCTTTTGGTGGAAAGAAATCTGAGACAGTTGTCATTGACAGCGTCTGCATGCTGTTTTCTCTGATGTTTTGAACTGGCAACCATTCTTAACTCTTTATCTTAAGGTAATTGATACCCAAGGATAGCAACAGAGAGGAATGCACAAGGAATTTGGTTACTTCATTTTGCTCTAGCATAACCATTATTTGTGACTATGTTGAAGTTCCCTAGTAGTGGCATTGCTTTCTTGTTGATTCTCGGTTTAAATATTATTGAGCTTAAATAGTAGTTGATATTTATTAAGAATTGTGCTTTGTGATGGTGAAATGTTTGAACTGTTAAGGACAAATGGTATCCTTAACAGAGGGAAACCTAATTATTATTTGCTTTCTGTCACCTGTAAGGTATTCCAAGCTAGACAAACAGGTTTAGTATGAAAGAAATGTAAGTTTCATATGATTTTTATTTTATTTTATTTTATTTTATTTTATTTTATTTTATTTTGAGGTGGAGTCTCACTGTGTTGCCCAGGCTGGAGTGCAGTGATGCGGTCTCAGCTCACTGCAACCTCCACCTCCCAGGTTCAAGCGATTATCATGCTTCAGCCTCTAGTATAGCTGGGACTACAGGTGGTTACCACCATGCCCGGCTGATTTTTTAATACTTTTAGTAGAGATGGGGTTTCACCATGTTGGCCAGGCTGGTTTCGAACTCCTGACCTCAAGTGATCCACCCACCTTGGCCTCCCAAAGTGCTGGGATTACAGATATGAGCCACTGAACATGGCCATATGATTAACTTTTGTCCATGGATTCTTGCCTGCCTCTTGGGAACTGGGTCAGTATAGGTTTCTAAGATAGGACAGCCATGTACTAGGAGCAGGTTGAACTAGATTTCTGAGGTCATCTGCTTATGAAATCATAATATTTAGTGTTATGTATTATTAAGAAGTTATAGTATACCATCTGATCTGTATACCATCTAACCTGTACCCTGTATTTCTTTTATGAAGAGAAGGTAGGAAATACACATAAATGTTATCTGACCGGTTGCGTTTATGAGTGAAGCTGTTTTTACATATATTTTGGTGTTTTTCAGTTATTCTGTAATCAGCAAAAGTGATCTTAGACACTATAGAACTGTCTTGAATAAAACAATGATTATGTATCCCTTTTCTAGGAAAAGTCTTTTGGAAGGTGCCGGATGGTGTATATAGCGTGCTTTTCAGTCTATACGTGTGATTTAAAAAAAAATTGTGTGTGTGTTCACACACACACACACACACACACACACACACACAGAGAGATGCTTAGAGTATCTCTGAAATGTTATTATACAAGAAAACATGCGCCCTTCTGAGATGAGGTATACTAGGTACATCTATTCTGAAATAAACAATTGTAGATGAAATTGATTCTTGAACAGTGCCGAGATTAGGACACTGACCCCTATGAAGTGAAAAAATCTGAGTTGAACACCGTGAGAGCCATACAAAGTACTACTAATGTTGTTGGGAGTGCTCCCAAGAAGCAGAGAAAAGTAATGAATTACAGAAAAAGCTGAAATGCTTGATATGTACTATAGATTGAGATTTGCAGCTGTGATTACCTGTGGACCACTGTGAAAAAAGAAAAGGACATTCATGAAGCCATTGCTACAACTATGCCAGCAGGTGTGAAAACTGCACTTTTTGTAAAATACCTTTTTATCTTGTGCTGAAAATTTAGCTTTTATGTGGGGGCAGAATTGCTATGAGAAAGGCATATGTATAGACTAATACTATTAAAAAAAAGGTAAAGTCATCCTATAACAGCTTAAAGCAAAAGGAAGGAGAAGAATGTAAAACTGGATAATTTAATGCCAGCAAAGGATAGCTTGATAATTTTAGGAAGAGGTCTGACTTGAAAAATGTCAAGCAAACCGAAGAAAGAGCCTCTGCTGACCAAGCAAGAGGCAGCAGATGAGTTATCACACACCATTAAGAAAATCATTGAGGAGAAAGTATTAAATATATCTTCCCGAAAGGCTGTTTTTTATGAATGCAAATTTATTAAGAAAGCAAAAGAATAAAAGAATGGCTACACCCTACATACACAGAACAGCCCTGAACAGATTTTTACTGCAATGAAAGTGACTTGGTTTGGAAGAAATGCCACAAAGGACATTTATTAGTAAGGAACATAAATGAGCACCAGGATTTAAGGCAGGAAGGGATAGGCTAATTCTACTGTTTTATGCAAGTGCAATTGGGTTCCTTGTTTGTGAAGTGTCTAACTCCCAGCTTTGAAGGAAAAAGGTAAGTGCCAGCTGCTAGCCTTTTAGTTGTACAAGAAGGCCTGGACAACAAGAATCTTTCTGAATTAATTTCATTGATGCTTTGTCCCTGAAGTCAGGAAGTACCTTGCCAGCAAGGGATTGATTTTAAAGATTCTTTTGCTATCAGACTATGGCTCTGGACACCCAGAACCCCCTGAGTTTGACACCAAAGGCATCGAAGTGGTCTACTTTTCCGCAGATACAACGTCTCTAATTCAGCCTCTAAATCCAGGGTGTAATAAAGACCTTTAAGGCTCATTATACGTGGTACTTTATGGAAAGCATTGTCAGTGCTGTGGAAGAGAACTCCAATAGAGAGAACATGAAAGTTTGCAAGGATCACACCATTGAAGATGCAGTCATTAAAGCCATAAAAGTCATCAGGTTTGAAACAATAAATTACTGATGGAGAAAACTACACCCAGTTATTGTACATAACCTCACAGGATTTACAGCAGAGCCAATCAAGGAAATCATGAAAGAGATTGTGGCTATGACAAAAAAGTTTGAGTTTAGAGAGTTTCAGGATAAGGATCTTGGAGAAATTCAAGAGCCAGTAGACATCACACCAGAGGAATTAACGGAATACAACTTGATAATTGAGTGCTTTGCAACTAGTGCTAGACACTGAGGAAGAAGACTTAGAAGAAACAGTGCCAGGGGCCGAATGCAGTGGTTCATGCCTGTAAGCCCAGCACTTTGGGAGGCCAAGGTGTATGGATTGCTTGAGCCCAAGAGTTCAAGACAAGCCTGGGTAACGCGGTGAAACCCTGTCTCTACAAAAAAAAATATAAAAAATTTAGGTGGATATGGATGTTCATATCTGTAGTCCCAGCTACTTGGAGGGCTGAGGTGGGGAGGATCAATTGATCCTGGGATGCAGTGAGCCATGATAGTACCTACTACTGCACTGTGGCTGGGATAACGAGTGAGACTCTATATCTCAAAAAAAAAAAAAAAAAAAAAAATGCAGTGGTGCCAGAAAACAAATTGACAGTAGACAATATGGCAGAAGGTTTTTGATTATCAAGACTGCTTTTGACTTCTTTTGTGACTTGGACCCTTCTTTGATTACTGACACTGAATCTAAAGCAAATGGTAGAATAAAGATTAGTACTGTATAAAAATGTTTTTGGAGAAATGAAAAAGCAAAAAAGTTGGACAGAAATTATGTTGTATTTCCATAAAGTTACACGGAGTGTGCCTGCCTCTTCTGCATCCCCTTCTATCTCTTTTACCCTTGTAATTCCTGAGACAGCAAGATCAACCCCTCCTCTTCAGCCTACTCAATGTGAAGACAATGAAGATGAAGACCTTTATGATGATCCACTTCTACTTAATAGTAAATATATTTTCTCTTCCTTATGATATTCCTAATAGCATTTTGTTTTCTCTAGCTTACATTATTGTAAGAATATAGTATATGATATATACAATAAGTACTAATCAACTGTTATTGTATTGGTAAGGCTTTTGGTCAACAGTCGACTATTAGGAGTTAAGTTTTGGGGGAGTAAAAATTTATATGTGGATTGTTGACTACAGGAAGACCAATGTCCCTATATTGTCTTTATCTGATTTAGGAATTCACATTATTTTAGCCCTTTTATTTATTTTTTTGATAAAGAATCTCACTCCATCACCCAGGCTAGACAGTGGCATGATCTTGGCTCACTGCAGCCAGCCTCCACCTCCTGTGCTCAAGCAATCCTCCCACTTCAACCTCCCAGTAGTGGGGACTATAGGCATGTGCCACCCTACTGAGCTAATTTTTTAAGTTTATTTTTCGTGTACAGACGAGGTCTCACTATATTGCCCAAGCTGGTCTTGAACTGCTAGACTCAAGCAATCCTCCTGCCTCTGCCTCACAAAGTGCTGGGATTACAGGTGTGAACGGTCACATCTGGCCTAGCACTTTTAAATGAGCAGTTTTCTTTCTCTCTTTCTCTCTC